TTGATATCAGAATTTGGTATCGGAATTTGGGAGAGCTTTCGGAGTCACATTGTATTTGTTGAGTGACATGTGTTCTGAGTCTTTGTAGTGTGATAGTGAGATATTCACTTGTAATGCTTTGGTTTATTAGTGATTGGTCCGTGGATGTAGGGGAACTTCTCTCCGAACCACGTAAATATCTTAGTGCCTCTTTGTGTAAAATCGTTCATTGGTGTTGTGAGTACCTTTGTTCCGCTTTTGGCGCACAACAAGTGGTATCAGAGCCAAGTTGTGGTATTTTGGGGTATTGTGAAAGCTTGGGCCTCATCGACCATTAGACGTGCTCACAATCGTGTTTATTCTCTTGAAAATCAATTTTCAAGAATTGGGTTTTTGAGTTTCATTCAGATTAATTATTGCAAATGGCAGAACCATCACGACGTGGATCGAGAGTGTGGAGTTCCAATCTCGAAGTAGAAAAATTTGATGGAACCAATAATTTTGGTGTTTGGCGAGGCGAAGTTAGCGATTTATTGGTCATGCAAGACCTCGATGTCTCTCTCCAAGAGGAAATGCCTGAAGACATGACAGAAGCAGAATGGACGAAATTAAATCGGCAAGCCTGTGGAATTATTCGATCCTGTCTTGGCAAGGATCAGAAATATCCATTTATGAAGGTTACCATGGCGAAAGAATTATGGGACAAGCTTGAAGCGAAATATATGAAGAAGAGTGTGGAAAATAAACTCTATTTGAAGAAGAAACTCTTCCGTTTTGATTACAAGGAAGGCATCTCAATGGCTGAGCATTTGGATGATTTTAACAAAATCATCACTGATTTGCTCAATCTTGATGTTAAGATTGATGACGAGGACAAGGCGTTGTTGTTATTAAACTTCTTGCCGGAATCCTACGAGTTTGTAGTAACGACCCTACTACATGGAATCACTAATATTGATTTTGAAGATGTTTCAAATGCTTTAATAAACAATGAGATGCGAAAGAAGGAAAAGGAGACGTATCAAAGCTCTAGCTCAAATGTTCTCACTGCTCATGGAAGGACTTCCAATTGGAAAAAGAACGAATGTGGAGAGCCTCGACTAAAGTCGAGAGGTAGATCTGATAATTGGAGAAAACTTGATAAAAATGAGTGTGCATATTGTCGACAGAAAGGCCATTAGAAAAAGGATTGTTCGATCTTAAAAGAGAAGGGGTCAAAGTCCAATGTGGTTAGAGATGACGACACTGATACAGATGATGCCTTGACAATCTCCCTATCAGTCAGCCAAACCAGTGAATGGATTCTTGATTCTGGGTGCTCCTATCATATGTGTCCCAACAAAGAGATGTTTTTGGACTTCAAGGAGTTCAATGGTGGAGTTGTCTATATGGGAAATGATAGTACTTGTAAGATAATGGGAATCGGCTCAGTACAAATCAAGATGTTTGACGGGGTTATACGAAAACTCAAAGATGTGAGGTATGTCCCTGACTTGAAGAAAAATTTGATTTCACTTGGCGTTTTGGATGCGAGTGGTTATCGCATCATTTTGGAAGGAGGGAATTTGAAAGTAGCTCGTGGAGCTTTGGTGGCAATTACAGGAACTAGAAGAGGTAGCATATACTACCTCAACGGAACCACAATAATTGGGCATGCTGCTGTGGCAAGTTCAAAAGAACAAGACATATCGAAATTATGGCACATGCGACTCGGGCATGCTGGTGAGAAGGCGCTTCAGACACTGGTGAACCAAGGAGTTCTTAAGGGTGCCACAACTGGAAGAATTGATTTCTGTGAACATTGTATATTTGGCAAACAAAAAAATGTGAAGTTTGGTACAGCTATACACCAAACAAAGGGCATTTTGGATTATGTTCACACTGATGTATGGGGTTCTACAAAGAATGTCTCATTGGGAGGAAAGAGGTGGTTTGTCACCTTTATTGATGACTACTCGAAGAGAGTTTGGATGTATCCCATGAGGCACAAAAACGAGGTTCTCCAAATCTTCCTAGAGTGGAAGAAAATGGTAGAGAATCAGACGGACAAGAAAATCAAAAGGCTGAGATCAGACAACGGGGGAGAATATACTTATGATCCATTCCTTAAAGTATGTCGAGATGAAGGGATCGTTCGACACTTCACTGTTCCTGGTAAGCCACAACAAAATGGAGTTGCTGAGAGAATGAACCAGACATTAATAGAGAAGGTTCGATGCATATTGTCTCAAGCAGGATTGAGTAAGACATTTTGGGCTGAGGCTCTCAGTTATGCAGTTCACTTGGTGAATCGTTTACCTGCTTCTGGAAACGGTCGGAGAACTCCGCTTGAGGTATGGTCAGGTAGTCCTGTTAGTGATTATGATAAATTACATGTGTTTGGGTGTCCTGCTTATTATCATGTGACAGACTCAAAGCTGGATCCTAGAGCAAAAAAAGCCAAGTTTATGGGCTTTAGCAAAGGTGTGAAGGGCTATAGGTTATGGCGTCCAGAAACAAGTAAGATTGTTAATAGTCGAGATGTGACATTCGATGAGTCTGAAATGTTTTTGCAGAAAATTGAAAATAATGACGAGGCATTGAAGCAGGTGGAGAAGGTGGTGTTCTCTCCTGATGTGGTTGCTCCTACTGAAGAACCTATTGACCAGGTAAATAATAACTTTGATGTCTTAGAACAGAAAGAGCAAAGTCTGGAGGAGCAAAGCCTTGCAAATGAAAGAGTGGAGGAACCTGAGTCTATCGCCAAGAATAGACCACGAAGGGTAATTCGAAAACCTGCAAGGTTTGATGATACGATAGCATATGCTTTCTCTATAATTGATGGAGTTCCCAACTTACGTATTGAGGCTTGAGGTGGTAGCAACCAACTCAATTATCAACTTGGAGATCTTATGACAAGGTGGAGATTGTTGTAAATTGTCATTAAGTTTTGATTTGATTTGGAGATCTTATGACAAGGTGGAGATTGTTGTAAATTGTCATAAGTTTTGATTTGATTTGGTTATTTGAATTAGATTTGATTTGGTTATTTGAATTAGATTTGATTTGGTTATTTGAATTAGATTTGATTTGGTTATTTGAATTAGATTTAGTCACACCAGGGTTTAGTTATATATCGGGATTTGATATCAGAATTTGGTATCGGAATTTGGGAGAGCTTTCGGAGTCACATTGTATTTGTTGAGTGACATGTGTTCTGAGTCTTTGTAGTGTGATAGTGAGATATTCACTTGTAATGCTTTGGTTTATTAGTGATTGGTCCGTGGATGTAGGGGAACTTCTCTCCGAACCACGTAAATATCTTAGTGCCTCTTTGTGTAAAATCGTTCATTGGTGTTGTGAGTACCTTTGTTCCGCTTTCGGCGCACAACAGATCGTGTGTAGAGAAGTATTACATATCGAATACTGTCCGGACTGAAAATTGAGAACAAGGCTATGAAATGGTATGTAATTGCATTTCCTAAAGTCAATTTCTATCTAATTTTTGTGTCTTTGGATTCCTTTTATTAACTAATTGTTTTTAAATTCCCTTTTTGAGAAAGGTAGATGGAGAAATTTAAGGCATTAAAAGCTTACAAGTGAATTAATCAATTGAAAAGCTTAGGTTGAAAATTTGATACATTAAGAGCAATTAAGTGTGTTCTTTTGGTGAAGCATGTTTGATGTCGAAGCTATGCCTCTTGATCTAGATTGAGAACGAACACGTCTAATTCCTAACACAATTATCTCGAGCTAGATTTTAAATTTCTTTCGATATTTTTATTTGACCATCGATTCTGTAACAATCCAAACCCATCATTTGGATTTCTCTGGAAGGATTTCGAGAGGTTTCCACTGTAACGACTCTAAATTTCTACTTAGAGTTGCTACCGTCATCATCATCTATACTCATATGCGGAATTTAACATTTAAAAACTTCTTCATGAAACATAACCTTCCTCTTAAAACACTGTCATGAACTTACGTGTTCGAAAACATCTTTTAAATGACACATGAAAAATTAAATAAAATAAATAACGGTAAAATTAAAGACCCCATTCTAACCCAAGTCTTAGAAAACAAGTATAGCTATCCTATGCATGTACCATGGTCTCGAATTAGGATGTTGTCGTCATTGGCCGTATAGGAATGTCTTGTCTTTACCTGAAGAGAAGTAGCACAAGACTTGAGTATTTTAAGAAATATTCCATAAGTGACCCTGTTAGAGTCATAAAATGCAAACATGTGCAACTTATGATCTAAGGGACTTATCATTTAAGAACTATCATAGGAGTGGCCTCCAATCCGAACAAAAATTGGATGTGTAGTACTTTCCTACACATGACCCACATGTGCGAGTGTGGACCCCCAAGCAATTCGCACTTCCCTGGACCCATCATAGTCGAGCTAACTTTTCGTAGCGACGTTTGGAGGTCAGCAAACCCCTTATTGTCATGCGAGGCTATGATGATGATGATCATCATCATCATAGTGTACGCATCGATCGATACTCATCATAAAAAATGGGGAAGTATTCCATTTCTTTCCAGATCAGGTTGTCCGACATCTTGATTTATTTCCTCCTCTCCTTCAAGGCATCGTAATACCTTATCCACTTACAAAATGTGAATTTTTTCCGATGTTATCGTTTTTCTTAAACCCATACTTGCCAAGCTGGTATTACACATTCGGAAATCATACTAAACTCATTGAGCTCGCCGTCCTCTTCTACTTATGAGCTCACCTTCCTCTACGAGCTTGCTCATTGTTTGTTTCAAATGTGGACCTTTCAATCTCGTCGGAGATTCAGTCCGAGGGAGGGTTTGGTGGGTATCTTTTGTGACTTCATTGGAGGTGTTGAGGAGCGTTAAGGGAAGGGACGTGGCTTTGCGCATAGGTTGAAAATGCAAAAAATTGGGCGAGACCACCAAAATTTTTTGCATCTTTTCCCGCAACTGTGCAAAGATTTTTTATTTTATTTTTTATCATTACATCCACACTTACAAAAACTCGCACCATTTGTGAAAACAGCCACAACAACCAGCAATGCTCAATAATTTATAATAGCAAGTACATTACAAATGTCCATTTTACAAGTCACGTCTTCTCTTCTCCAATATGGCAACTGTCGGCCCTTCCACTGCCGACGCCCCTACCCTACTCGTTACCCGTGACAACCTATCACCACCTATCCTTTCCCAATTCCAACGCTCATTGTAGCCTTGGTCAAACAAAAGTTGTCACATTGGGAGCCTTAATGCCTCTATTTCATCAACATTCATGCAAAAAATTCAACCCCCACTAACACTAAGTTGACTCTCTCAACGAAAAAAACTAAATCAAATTTCACAGGTTACAATGCACCTTTTTTCTTGTCTGCTTTGGACGGTGACCGGTGCGGGCGGGCGGGCGGGCTGCTTCTTCTTTTCTCCTTGTTTGATGAGAGTTTCAGAAGGATTGTGTGTATTGGGTCTGTCTATTCATTGTTGTTCTGTGTGAGTCTTTTGCTTCCATGTTGTGTATTGCTGGTGGTGATGGAAGGGCCGTCGGTTATGTTGTTAGTCTCCCTCTTTGTTCCTTGGCCGGATGACCTGTGCTTTCTCGGTATGCATTTTGCACGTGCTGCTGCGTCCATCTCCTTCTCCGACATTTGCAGCTGTGATGCCCTGCAATTCAAACACATGATTCGTTCACCGATTTTGAGTTTCGACTTTCTTCACCATTCCCCAATCATTCAGGGCTTCTGTAGTTACTAGCTAAAGAACATTTATAAACAACCATACAAAGCGAGCAGCAAAAGAAAAAAGTGTGAGATTACATGTTGGTTGGGTAGGGAACGAAGCATTTTTAAGGAAGTGCAAAACTCTCACTAGCAGACGCATTTTAAAACTGTGAGACTGATAGTTATACATAACGGGCTAAACGGACAATATCTACTGGAGGTAGGCTTAAGCTGTTACAAATGGTATCAGAGCTGTTACACACCAGGCGGTGTGCCAGCGAGAACGCTGGACTCCCAAAGGGGTGGATTATGAGATCCCACATCGGTTGGATAGGGGAAAGATGCATTTACAAGGGTGTGAAAACCTCTCCCTAGCAAAGAGGTTTTAAAACCATGAGGTTGATTGCTATACGTAATGACGTAATGGGCTAAAGCGAACAATATGGAAGAAGGGATGAAACCTCTGTATGGTGATGTTAGATTGGGAGTTGGGTATGGTATTCTTCAATCAAAGTCTCTTCTCTTTGGAATATAGAAACAAACAGATGGAAGGCAGACTACCCTAGTTGGGTGGATTCATCTTCCTACTTAAGACCCAAAACCAAACAGAAACAGAGCATTCAATCAAATTATCAGATCATCTGTGAACTGTGGGACAGAAAATTGAATGAAATGAAATGGACTGAACGAAGATAGATGGCGGGCAGTCTACAGTCCTTGTTTTGCTAGATGAGGAAACAAACAGTTCAAATGGGATCAAAACAGTACAATTCTGAATCAACTATAGCAGTGCTACAAACAAAATGAATGTTGATTTTAGTCTACTTTTTATCTTTTCTTTTTCCCAGTCCCGTACGAATCTTACAGGCAAATCCAATGGTGGCCCAGAAGCCTCAGGCAGAGAATCAAAAATATTTCAGACTTGAAAAGTAATCAATCACAGAAACAAGAAACAAGAAACCTTACCTATCTGCATTGTAAGAAGATGACCTCTTCAGAGCCGCTGGAGCGTTCTTTACTTTCTGGGTTTCGATTAGGCTTCCACTGAAGTATTCCTTGTCTTCCAACCGTACGCCGGAGAAACCCATAATTTCCGTCGATGTCTCTGTTGCTGGTTCTTTCCTGCCTATGCGAGGTACTCTGGATTTACAGTGACCAACGAGGGCAAATTCTTGATCCCCCATTGATGGTGCTGCACAGTCCTTGAACGACATCGATCCACATGAAATCAATTGCATTAGAACTGCCGATGCCCTCATCCTCCCGCTCGGAAAACTCTCCGCCGTCCGATTAGCGTTGTCGGCTTCGGAAATGATCAAACGTCCGTCGGCTTTCATCAGAGATTCTAGAGTTTCGGGGCTTGAATCCGAGAGCGGAGGAGAAATTTCTTCCGTATTGAGCTCTGTACTCGGCGTAGGGTTTGATTCACCATGAACCTCCTCTGTTTCTTTATCTTCCTCCCTCACCGCTCGTCTCCTCCGCCGATGCTTCTCGTCAGTCTGAGTCGAAGCATCAGCAGCGGCGGCTTTAGCCGACGAGTCGAAGCTCGAATCGGTCTTATAGACTTTGTACTCATGGAAGTCGACGGAACTCCATGACTGGTTCCTCCGGCGAGAGAGGATCGGGGAATCGGACTCTTCGCCGTCGAGTTTATGAATCTCCGGCGGCCTCAAAGACCTAGAAGATTCCGAGCCTTGAACTCGGCTCTCTAAAGAGGAATGAAGAATCTCCGATCCTTTGAGAACATACTCTTTACCATGCAATGGATAAATGAAATCATTCTCCGACAAATCGTGCCATACGAACCCATTCTTGTAGCTCCTAAAACCAATTAAAACCCTAGAAATCAGATTATGAACAAAATCGAAACGAAAAAAACGAAAACCGCCATTAAATTCACCTTTTAGACGACCACGAGTACGCAGTAGCCATTCCATTTCCTCGAAGAAGATTGAGACGATTGATAACATCTGAAGAACAGAAACATTCGAAAAGAAAGTGAAATGTGAGAATCAAAGTCAAAGCAGCAGGAGAAATCGAAAAAGCAAAAAACGAAAATGAAAATGAAGAAGAGGATTGTGAACAACCTCTGAGATAGAGGCCTTCGGAGGAGGAAAGAGGAACCTCCATGAAATGAGGGTGTTGGAGGTGGCCATTTCTGGAGAGATAGTAAACGACGGGAACCTTTCTTTCGGAGCGGAGCTTGGGTTCAGTCCAGACCTTGGTGCGCTCAGGGCTGGTGGCGTCTCTGTCCTTCCATAGTCTGGGGATTTGAAGGTCAGTGAGCCTGTCTCTGGAAGCGACCGCCATTGTTGAGAGATTGAAGGAGAATGAAGAAGAAGAAGGGGAAGGATTTTGAGTTTTATAGAGAGAGTTGAAGGGGAAGGAGGGAGAGATCTGACGGACAAACAGCTACGTAACAAAACTAGGCCGTTTTGATTTCAGGACTTGAAATGTCAATTTTTTATTTTCTTTTTCTTTTTTCAAAAAAAATTTAATTTATCATTATTATTTCTTTTTAAATGAATTACTTTTATAACAAAATGTAAAAACAATATTTAAAATTATTTTCTTTTTTATTTTATTTTTTATTTTACGGCGTTCATCTATGATCCGAAAACCAGACTAATTCAAACTAAGGTTGAGTTGAGTTGGGTTAGATTAATATTTTTTTTATTAATTTGAATTGGGTTAAATTTTTAAGAAATAAAATCATTCCTGGGTTGACTTTTTTTATTGGGTCAACCCTAACCGGCCTGAATCTAACCTTTGTAATGGATATTATCCATGACTGGTAAATATTTAATATTTGAGTTTTATGAGATTTTAATTATTAATGTAAATAAATATGATTTTTTAAAATAAGAATAATAAGAATTAGAATAGCCTGCGAACTCTATGTTGCTCGGGTTACCCACTTGACTAATCCGGTCCAAATAATTTCTCAATTCATATCCACTCTTAAAAAAATTATTAGACAGAAAAAATAATCCAAACGTGTTAGGTTGTTCAAGTCACCGAGCTGACAACCCAATTTGAAAAGTTGTGTTGAATGGTGAATTCTACTGTAGTTGCTCGGGTCACCAACTCGACCGATCCTAATTCAACACAAAATTAAAAATTCAGTAACTTTCATACGACACGTGGGTGAAATGAGAAGGGTAAATTAGTAATTTAGCTAAATTTAAAATTCAATTTTAGAAATGAAATCTGATTTTCAAAGCACCGACCTTCCTCCTCACGTGCCACACCCTCTCTCTCTACTATATATATATATATATATATATAATATTATTTAATATTTAAATGGTCAGTTATGTTTTGGTTTTAGCATAAGGTTATGATGGATCCCGTGAAATAGATTCGAGAACGGATATAAATGGGAAATTATTAACGGAAAAAACAAGATTCGGATATACGATTTTTAAATTCTTTTTTTAATAATCAAAATTCTGATTACAAAAATATTTTTTTAATTTCTCTCCCTATTTTTCACACTAAATAAATCATTATTTTTTACACCTCCTTAGTTGTCAATCCCTCGATACCATGTATATAAAATATTAATAAATACGATACTCAAACAAGAATGAACCGAGATCACGTCCGAATGGTTTATGGGGATAATCTTAAGTGAGAAGTAAGTAACGTTTAAAGAAAATATTATAAAATATCATAATAAAAAAATAATATTCCAACTGCCCCATCAACCACTTATTTACTATAATAATAAATAAATAAATAATAATTGAGGTGAGGCTCGGACAAGAATATAATCCTCATCCTTATTAGCCAACGAGAGAAACTCTCCACTCCTGTTTGACGTTCTCGGTTTAACCAACTATTCCTCACCTTGTTCGAACGGTCACCTACATGGAGCATGACCATACAGATTATTAAATACACCTCTCGAACATTGTTACCATATTTATTATTATTATCCCGAACATTTATTATTGGAAGGCATGCATGACTTAAAATCATGACCTAACACATATGTTATACTAAAATAAAATCTAGTTTTGGAAGGTAATTAGTATATCACCCTAGGAATCCATTAAATATTTAGATAAAAGTTTGGGATTCGGAATAGCTCGACAATGATTGAGCCCTCATTTTTATTTCCGGTCACGGTCACATTAGGTTATATCTCAAATTTTTATTATGATGGTAATTTAAAAACGTTTATTAATTAATATTGCAACTTTTAGCGGAATAGATACCACATTCAAATGAGATTAATCTTGAGGATAAGATGACTAAAAAAAATGAAAAAAAAATTGATAGTTAATATCTATACCAATAAAGTGCACGTTCATTTTCAGTAGTTTAATCATAAAAACTTCAAAGTTAAGCGTGTTTTACTTAGAGCTACGAGTGAGTAAGGACAAGTCATGCTGAAATGACTCGTGTTGGTCAGTGAGATAGATAGTTGTACCTCTTAGAAGCAATGAGTAAGTAATATGACTATGTTGTAATGGACGTAGGAAAATGTTGGAGCCGTTAAGGTTCGATTCGTCTTTCATCCATGTACCATAGACGACTTTTATCGTGTGATTTAGGGCAGGTTCGAAAAGCTACTCTCTTTCTAAATATCTTAATATTTCCGTGAGTTTAAACATAAACCCTAATTTGAAAATTTTAATTGGGTCATTTGAAATGGGCGGAATATCAAATTAAAATTTTGAATTTTGAACTCGGGACGATGATAAATATTTATTTAATCCACAATATCCAAGAAATGTGTGTGGAAAAGGGAACTAAAAGTCTCATTGTTTTTTTTTTAAAAAAAAAAATCTAATATAGTTAGAAAAAAAAAAAGAAGGTGAGTTGACTAAACGGCCGTTTAATATTTGCCGTACCAAACTTTGACTAAAACAGCTAATATAGTAATCAATCATTATCATAGCCTTTAAAACCCGGTTTTCTGATCTGACAAACGTTGTACTATTAGTGGGCCCCACTAGACACGTGGCAAGATAAATCCGACCTTTTCAATTATTTTATTTTAATTTTCCAAATTGGGCGTTGAAAATTGGATTGAATTCACACGTGAGAGGTGTACGTGGCAATGGAAAACGACGTCGAATTAGCCACCAAGTAAGACTATTTGAGGCTCAAAGGGCCGGCAGGCGCTCCCCTATTTTTTTAATTTTGTTTTAATATATTTTTACCTCAAATTAATAAAAATAATCTAAATTTTTTTTATAAATTTCGAATTTTTTTAATAATTTCTTTAAAATTTTAAAAATTTTTAAAAATAGTTTATTGGGTAATATTCTATTTAAAAAATATCTTCCAACTTTAAAAAGTTTCGTTAATATTCTTCAAAATAGATAAATAAATATATATTTTATGAAGTAATAAAATTTTGCATAGACGTTTCGAACCAATCCAACAAAAAATTTATGGTTAGGTCGGATTGGGTTGAATTAAAAAAATTTATAACTCGAACAATTGGGTTGACTTTAAAAAAATTGTCCCAACCCGACCCAACCCATGAACACTTCTGTTGAAAATAAGATGTACGGAAGATTGATTTGTTGAGGGTTGGTAGAATCTCACGTTGATTAACTAAGGACAAAACTACAAAAATTTACGCTCGAAGTAAGACGGTATGATACCAATGATGTCTTACAAGCATATAAGAGGACATGAGCTAGAAAATTGAGGAGCCCAATTAAAGCCCAACCATGTCCATGGATAGTTTAATTCACCTTGAGATAGGCACAAATCTGAGGTTCCCCTTGATATAGGCCCAGCTTAATTCACCCAAGCAAGTCCCATCAAGACTCAACACAACCATGTCACATGAACCTTGGTTCAAAGTGAAGGACATGAACTCGAAACTTGGGTTGAGCCAAACAAAGTAGGCACATTTTTCCAAGTGAAACCCGAAATTCTAGGGCTTAATCTATCATGAACCTATCAAAATGAGTATGATCGTGAGACATAAACACACCTCCAAACAGAAGATAATACTCCTATACTCGACTTCGAATATTCAATTTTGAAAAGTCAAGGGCCAAACCACGAACATCAACTTGGGAATGAAGGCCATTGTCATGGCTAAACTTGAATTGTATATATACGAGAGTCCAAGGCTGACCCTCTAATAGTCCAAGCTCACCACTAACAGATATTGTCTTATTTGAATTTTTCTATTTGAGCTTTCCTTTTAGATTTTTAAAACTCATTTGTTAGGGACAAGTTTCCATACGGTTGTAAAGAATCTTTCTTTCTCTTCCTTAACTGATTTAGGATCTCACAATCTACCCCCTTCGGGGCCTAGCATCCTCGCTAGCACTCGTTTCCTTCTCCAATCAATGTGGGACCCCCCAATCCACTCTCCTTCTTTATAAGGACGTGAGTCTCGAAGGGGGAGGAATTGTGAGATCCTACCTCAGTTGGGGAGAAGGAACGAAACATTTTTTATAAGGGTGTGAAAACTTCTACGTAGCAGATGCGTTTTAAGAACCTTGAGGGGAAGTCGGAAAGGGAAAGTCCAAAGAGGACAATGTTTGTTAATGATGGACTTAAGCTGTTATAAATGGTATCAGAGCCAGACACTGAGTGACATGCTAGCGAGGAGGCTGAGTCCCGAAGGGGGATGGACACAAGGGCAATATGCCATCGAGGATGCCGGTCCCCAAAGGGGATGAACATGAGGTGATATGCCAGCGAAGATGCTGAGCCCTGAAGGAGGTGAATTGTGAGATCCTACATCGGTTGGAGATGAGAATGAATCAATTTTTATAAAAGTGTGAAAATCTTGGGAGTAACTCCGAAAAATCTCAAAGGAACAATATCTACTAACCGTGGGCTTAGGCCATTCTAAACCCGAAGCAAGACAAGGCCGAATATCAAGCATAGTATGCATAAAACATAAATGATTCTTAGAAAAAACAACAAACATAACTATTATTAGATGTCTAAAATGTAGTCTTTCAGCTAAAAATTGGAAAGATTCACAAAACTAGAACAGTGGTTTAGAAAGTGGGCCAAGGAAGCTCCATTGCTACACAAATCACAGCTTTCCCTTATCCTCCATCACAGCACAGCTATATAACATAACTTAAAACTCTATTCACAAATTTAAATGAATCAAATCCTTTAGTTTCAACTTAGAGCCACAGCCTCTCCATAGTCAAACACCTTGTTCTCTTCCTCAACCACAGTCCACGGCGAGTACTCCCCATAATCCCACGGCGGCATCGACATCGACATCGGTCCACACTCGAAGTTGCTTTGATCACAAACTTGGTTTATAACATTACTTTGATCATCAATGTCTCTCCAAATATCATCCATCGAATAACCGTCCTCCTCCTCCTCCCGACGATCTAATAGTTCTTCTCCAATCTCTATGAT